CCTTCCCTCCCTCCCTCCTTTCTTCCTTCCACAAATTCAGTTTCTACTGTGCTATGTGCTGGCGATATAGCAGCAAATGACAAAGAGAGCTCCAGGTTTCATGGTGCTGCCAGTCTAGTCAGGGGGGGAAAGGGGGGCAGACAAAAACCAGACAAATAGATGTTACGTCAGGTTGATAAATGTTAGAAAGAAAAACAAAGCATGGTTGAGAGATGGATAGTGACAGAGGTGGGGCCTGCCTCAGAACAGCAGTCTGGATGTGACATTTGAGCAGAGACCCAAATGAAGTAAAGGAGTCAGAATGTAAAAATCTAGGAAAGAACATGGAAGCAGCGGGAGGAGCAGGTGCAAAGGCCCCGAGGCAGGTGTGCATTCTGTGTTTGAAACGCTCAGAGGGGTGATAAGGCAGCCAGTGTAACTGGTGGGGAGGGAGTGATAGGAGATGAAGGGGGAAAGCTGTCCGGGTGGGGACTTTATCTCAGTGGGATGGGAAGCCCTGAGAGTGTGGGGGAGGCTCTAAGGAGGTGATCGGGTTTGCTGGAGGACAGCCGACCAGCGGGCAAGGGTGGAAGCAGGAGCCTGGGGAGGAGGTGGGCCAGGCTGTGCAGGTGAGAGGCCGTGCTCACGAAGGGAAACTGCAGAGCAAGTGTTGGGGCGGCAAGAGGCGGCTTCCCGGAGGATGTGGTCGGACATGAACTACGGCTTTAGGGATACAGGACATTTGGATGGGGCTGCAGAGCAAAGGCTTCTCCAACAGCAGACGGGATGCGGGCAGATGCGTCGTGGCCTGGGTGAGCACGAGGACCCTCAGGGCACGGGAGGGGACCCCCTTCACATCAGGTCCAGGGGAGAAGGACAGTGAACAGAGGCTTCTTTCCCTGGATGAGACTTACCAGGCCTCCCCTGTCCCCTCCTCGGACCCAAGCAGCTGTTACATGCTTGCTCCCCATCTCTCTCCCATCTCTATATCGATCTGGGGACTTTTCTGCCCACTTGCTCCCTTCATCCTCACAGCCACCCTGGGACGTGGCCAGAGCAGGGGCTCTGCTCTACCGTGTCACCAGGAAGGAATCTGAGACAGAACAAACTGGGCACCCAAAGTGCCAAGAGAAGCCTCCGCTGCACACTTCTTGCTCTAATGGGGGGCCGTGGTGGAAAGAGAGCAAGCTTGGTTTCAAACACACCTACCCTGTCCTTACCTATGCCGCTCCCTGGCTCGGCCACCTGGGGCAACTTGCCTCAGCTCGCTGGGCCTCAGTTGCCTCATCTGTGAAATGGGGGTGGTAACGGGGCAGCTTTGAGCGTGTGCTGAGGCCTGGCCCAGAGTGGCGTAGGAGAGGCCCTGGCATCTGGGGGACCCAGGGTTCCAGGCCGCTCACCGTCGCTCCTGTCCCTGCGCAGGTGCTGGCGGCCGAGGAGAACGTGGACTTCCGGATCCACGTGGAGAACCAGACGCGGGCTCGGGACGATGTGAGCCGTAAGCAGCTGCGGCTGTACCAGCTCTACAGCCGGACCAGCGGGAAGCACATCCAGGTCCTGGGCCGCAGGATCAGTGCCCGTGGCGAGGACGGGGACAAGTATGGTAGGTGCCAAACCCCTCCTGCCCCACTGGGCACACACTTCCCGGCTTCAGGGACCTCAGGTTCAAATCCCAGCTCTGCCAGGTCCTGGCTGTGATCTTGCACCTGATATTGAGCCTTGCTGGGCCTCAGTTTCCTCATCTGTGAAATGGGGATACAGTGGTGCATCCCTGAGAGCCTCGTTGGGAGAACTAACTGAAGAGGTGAATAAAAGGTGCTTTTGTTGGCAGACACCCCATAAATGGCAGTTGTCTGGCTCTCGGTGGCTGCCTGGGGATGGCCTAAGGCAGGTGGCTGCTTCTCATGGAATCGCTTCACCAGCCCCAGGTTCAGAGGCTTGGAGGGGTGGGGGGCCTCTGGGTATCGCTTTTTGGGTGTTGCTGGTAGTGGTGAGAATCAGCCTGGTGTACCAGTGTGTTTATGTGTGTGCGTGTGTGAGCTTGAGCTTGTGTACCTGTGAGCCATGGGGACAGCACCTTGGGCCACCGTCCTTTAACCTTGATGCTGGAATTGGGTGTTTGGGAACCATCACCTGCCTTTGCGGTGGGGCCGGGAGGAGTGAGACACCCTGACCCCCTTCTCTGCCCAAACCCCCAGCCCACAGAGACCCTCAGCAGTGAGTGAAACAGACAGGCTGCGCCTTCCGAGAACTTGGAAGGGATTTGGGGATAGATGCTGAGCAAATACTGGCCATGCCCCTGCCGTTTCTGTCTTCTCAGGCCAGGGTCTAGGAGCTATTAGGTTGGGAAGGCGGCTGGGACTCTAGGTCGCCGAGGCGTGGGGCTCAGACTGAGGCCGGGCTGGGGCTGGGGCCGCGGCTGCGCTGGGTCCCGTGTGTGCGCCGGGGGCCTGCCAGCCCTGGCTTTTTTCTGGGATGATGCCCCGCCGGCCTCTGCCCGTTGCAGTCAAGACGTGACAACAAGACAAATAATTTCTTGGACCTTTTATCTTGGACACCATTTATTTTCCCTCAGCCCCAGGGCAGGACTGACCTCATGGTAGGCCCAAGTGTGGCAGCTGCACTGTCACTGGGGGCTGGGCCGGGCCAGGCTGGTAGCTGGGCCACCCCGGCTCCGCTCCTGCAGCCAGCTGCCCCCTCCCTGCTCCCTGCCCCGTCGCTGCCGCCCGCCTCCCCTTCCGCCCTCTCTCTCCTTCCTCTCTCGTCCCGGGCCTCTGTCTAGGCCCTTCTCCCTCCTTCCTGATCCCAACCCCTTTGTTTCTGGTCCTCTCTCTGTCTGCCCCCGCCCCACCATCTCTGTGCTTTCTGCCTCCTTCCCTGGTCCCCACCTCTCCCAGGCCCTCTGCTGGCTGCCTCTCTGGGGCCTGTCCCTCCGTGCCCCCCTCCCGGACGTCTGGCTGTGCTGGGCAGACCCAGGTGGTGCTTTTCCCTGGGATCTGCTGTCCAGTTGCTGCCAGGGAAGGGGCAGCTGGCTGGCCCGGGCGGGAGGGGAGGTGCCCTCCTGGGGAGTCCCCGGAGCTCTTGCTGGCCCCTCCAGGCTGGGAGAGTACAGGGGGGTCAGACTCTGGTCTGAACCATCTGTCCACGCCCTGAGACAGGAGGCAGGAACTCGGGAGGGAGAAGCGCCTGGGCAAATGGCGGGCCCCTCACTCCAGAAGCCACTTGCCCTCGAGTTTCCTCTGCCCGAACTAGAGACTCGGGGGAGCTCACCTGCTGTGTGACCTCAGGCAAGCCCTTTGCCTTCTCTGGGCCTCAGTTTCCCTCTGGACAACACAAGGGTGGCTAGAGCAGTGCCTCTTACATAGTAACCTGCATGGGAATCGCCGAGGGCTCTGGTTAAAGTGCTGACGTTGGTTCATAGGGTCTGGTGGGGCCTGAGCTCTACATTTCTCACCATGCCCAGGTGGTCCTGCTCCTGCACTTTGAGGATCTGGGGACCAGCCCATCTTGGCTTCTCCTCCAGCCCCACTAGCTCTAGCTTTGATAATTCTCTCTCAAGTGAAAAAATACTCTCCTCCCCCCCC